CTCGGCGAACTCCTGCTCACCAGCCCCGTGCGCTGTGCTCACTGCACCCTGCATATCTGCCCAGCTGTGCCCCAGCTCCTGCCAGCTGGAGCCTCGCTGCACCCGCACATCTGCCCAGCTGTGCCCCAGCTCCTGCCGGCTGGATCCTCACTGCACCCAGCACATCTGCCCAGCTGTGCCCCAGCTCCTGCCGGCTGGATCCTCACTGCACCCGCACTTGTGTGCATTGCACCCGCACATTTGCCCAGTCGCACCCACTGCACCCGTGCTATCCCCACGGTTTGCCGGCTGCATCCTCACTGTGCCCGCTGTGCCCACTGCACCCCACCTCCTGGGTCCTCACTGCACCCACACATTTTGCACATCTGCCCAGCTGTGCCCCAGCTCCTGCCGGCTGGATCCTCACTGCACCCGCACTTGTGTGCATTGCACCCGCACATTTGCCCAGTCGCACCCACTGCACCCGTGCTATCCCCACGGTTTGCCGGCTGCATCCTCACTGTGCCCGCTGTGCCCACTGCACCCCACCTCCTGGGTCCTCACTGCACCCACACATTTTCCCAGCTGTGCCCACTGCACCCCACCTCCTGCCAGCTGGGTCCTCACTGCACTCACACATCTCCCAATCTGTGCCCACTGCACCCGCACTACCCCACCCCTGCCTGCTGCATCCCAGCCCATCCCAGCCACACATCTTCCCAGCTGTGCCCACTGCACTCAGACCTGTCCCCACTTCCTGCCAGCTGCATCCCAGCCAGGGGTGCTGGAACAATTTTTAGTGGGGGTGCTGACAGCTGTTGTACCAAATTGGAAACCCTGTGTATAATGGAAACCACTTCTAGCTAGGGGATGCTGCAGCACTCCTACACCCCTAGTTGCCACACCTATGGTCCTAGCCATTCCCACCCACTGTATTCACTATACCGGCACATCTGCCCAGCTGTGCCCACTGCATCTACATGCATCTCCACCTCTTGCTAGCTGCACCTCAGTAAGCTGCATTCACAAATCTCCCCAGCTCCTACCACTCTACACAGAACCTGCACATCTGCTCAGCCCTTCCCATCAACTGAATATCCATCAACTTCTCTGCTCCCTGTGACCACTGCACCACACCTCCTCCTAGCACCTGCCACAAACATTCATTTCTCCTACCCCCCTGCCCTGTCTCCATCAACTATGTTCCCCAACAGGGCATACCCACTTATTGCTGGGCACACTGCACCTCCACCTCTGATCAACCGCTGCTTGCTACTTCCCTGTGCCTGTCAGCACCAGCTGTGCTCATTTCTCTGGCCATCTGTGCTGCACCCACAACTGTACCCAGGGTCCACTAGCTGCTGGAGAAAAGGTTCTGATTTGGGCTCCCTTTGATTCATGTTACAAATTAACACGGCGCTTTAAAGAATTAGCACCATATTCTCTAAAGAATTCGGGTATAAACCCCATCCTGGGGAGGTTGTGTGTTTTATTTGTGCTGTTAGATGTATCGCATTAAAAAAGGCCTGGAATAGATTTCAGCATCTGTGCCCGAGAAAGCCGCCATCTCAGTGCACCAATCATTTCTGTCCTAAACTATTTGTCAAAGTATTTCTCAGCCCCATTCCTTATTTCAGCCAGATGTTGAGTCTTCTCTGTCTCTCTTCACTCCTCTGATGACATTCCTCATTCAACTTACCCAGTATTTCTCTGTTCTAGCCACACCCCCCCGTTTGAATGCTCTCCCCTCGCCCCCACCTCAGGATGGTTTCCACGACATCTGTAGCCTTTTAGTTCATATTTTACTAGATAACCCTTCTCCGTTCTCATTGCTATTCCTTGCATATACCCAACCGTGCTCCTGAGCCATTTTTAGCCTACATCCACCTTTCATCCTGACAGTCTGTAAGATCTACAAAGAAAGACTTCCAGCTGAGACCAGCTTGGCACAGCTCCTGCCGGCTTGAAAAGGAGGAAGGCTCTCTTTTAGCTCACTAGGTCCCAGGTCAAGCCTCAGCCGCAATTAACATGCAGGACTCGGATAAATGACTCCATCTAATAAAGTTAGCACCTTGCAGAATTCGTCAGGTTTGCGTTAGAGAGATTAGCATAAATATTCCCTTTGCTTTCCATCAGCATGGGGTTCTCAGACCTCAACTTTCACTTTGAAATTCCAGTGCGAACAGATCTAAAAATTCAATGATTTTACATGGATTGAAATGAGAAATCAGACATCGGCCCCAAGAAGAAATTGGGCTGAGATTCAGGACATCTTATTGTAGTCCCAGTTCTACCCCACAAAAATCACTGTGTGATGTGGAGCAAGCTACTTAAGTTAAAATGTTCATTGATTTCGTGTTTCCAGTTTGAAACACTCGACTAAGGGCCTGATTTTCTTAATAGAGACCTCCCCACTATTCCTATATAGCACTAAAGGGTTGTATCCAGAGGTGAAACTAAGCGGATGTGCCCTGCCAGAGGCTCTGTGTGCACCCCTATTGCCCCTTCCCCCACAAGCCTCTTCATTCCTCCTTCTCTCTCCTTACCAGAGTCCCCTAATCTTTCTTCCCGTGATCCCCAATCCGCTGTCCTGTAATACCAGGGCTCAGTGTGCATCCCCCACTCCTAATTCCCTTTATGCCCCCCATTCTCCGGGAAAAAAATCAGGCCTCAAGAGCTAGATAAATACATGGAGGTTGGGTCCATCAATGGCTATTGGCCAGGATGGGTAGGAAAACTGTCCCTACCCTCTGTTTGTCAGAGGTTGGAGACAGATGACAGGAGAGGGATCACTTGATTCCCTGTTCTGTTAATTCCCTCTGAGGGTACCTAGCATTGGCCACTGTCAGAAGACAGGATACTGAGATAGATGGACCTTTTGTCTGACCCAGTATGGCCTTTCTTATGGTCTCATATTAGTCATCCAGAAACTGAGCTGCCAAAAATCATAGGCCATTTCTGAAATGTGTAGCCTTGATCTTCAACCCTTCATAAGATTATAATAGGGGGTTATTGGAAGGATAGATTGATATCTGTGAGGGACTCAGATGGCACAGTACTGGGGGCTACATACAACCCTAGAAATAAATCAAATAACTAAAATTTTCCACTCATGACCAGTTCCAGATGTGCCTAAAACACATAGTTAACTCCCTCACTGTACTTCACCTACATTTGCAAGTGTTGAGATCCAGATCTCTTGTTTGGTCCCTTACAGAATTTAGAGCAAGTCACAAAAGTCCAGAGCTAAACTTGCCCAAAGTTTAAGGAAGGTCATAACCAGGAAGTCATGCTTTTGTTTGACTCACTCTAGAGTTAAGGGCTAGCCACAAAAACAGGTTCCAGAAACTCACCCTGGAGTTTTGAGAACTCTGACCAGCAGTTTGTTCAGGTCTTGTCCATCACAACTCACTAGGTCTATAAACCTTTGGGCAAACCTGAACAGTTTCAAATTTGCAATGGAACTTGGTTGGTTGTTTCAGAATTCCTTGACAGCAGCGCTGCACAGCTCTAAGCAAAAGTACCTGGGCACCACTTAGCAAACAAGTTTCTCTGGCATTGGGGGCACCACTTCATCCATTGATTCTTATGGAGTTACCCCAAAAATAGTTTGGGCCCATAGTTGATAGCACACATTAGTTCAAAAACTTCAAAGGCATTGTTTCAAAAACAGTTAGGCTATGTCTAGACTACAGAGTTTTTTCAAAAACAGAGGCCTTTTAAAAAAAAAAAAAGAAAAACTTCACCTGCGTCTAGACTGCCGTTGCGTTTTTTAAATTAAATCAAAAGAACGCGGCAGTTTTTTCAACAGCGGTAAACCTGCTTTTACGAGGAAGAACGCAAACTGTGCTTTTTCAAAAGAGAGCATCCAGATTGCCTG